TGTTGTTGTTGTTATTGTTGTTGTTGTTGCTGTTGTTGTTGTTGTTATTGTCGTTGTTATTGTTATTGTTGTTGTTGTTGTTGCTGTTGTTGTTGCTGTTGTTGTTGTTGTTGTTGTTGTTACTATAGCTGTAGGACTGAATAATATGCTTGTTTTGTAAGTATTCTTGCTAATTTTATAAGTTTAAGTAGTTAAGCATTTTATAAGCACCTTTCTTTTTGAAACAGGGAAAGGGATAGAAGGAAAGGAAATAAATTGGGAAATTTCTTGTTTCGATTAAGAAATAGCGGTCATTTTTATTTAATTAATTTTCACAACCATTCATCACTGAAATTTTATTTATATTTATTTGAGAAATTTTTTCAAATATCATGAAAATAAGAAAATGAAATTTCTAAAAAAAAAATGCGCAAATAAAATTAGTGATTTTGGAATTATTTGAATTTGTTAACAAGTTGACTGGAAATCAAATTCGAAATTTAATCAATCCTAAAGTCAATTCTGATTACTTCTAAATCAGAGAACCTTATGAAGGTTCTGGTTTTAAATTTTCGTAAATTTCTAATTGTGTTGTGTAAAACACTATTAGAAATGAAGCACTTCATCAGGTAATTTAAGTTAGAAAATTAGAAACGATTTTGAATTTAATTTTCAATCAATTTATTTTTTTTTTCAACCCAATAAAGTATAATTAACTATCATTTAATACAACTCTATCATGATCATATGATGATAAAAGTTCATAGTTACGGGTGGTTAACACACTAACTCTATTTATAATGATAAAGTTGCTGATAATAGTGATAATTGCAGTAATTAAAAATGATAACAGAAATGACGATGTATGTTTCATGCAAACCAGTTTTACTCTTCCACATCAATTTTCCCTTTATCTTTAAGTGGGAAAGATATATAGCCACTTCTTTTTTTTTTGTTTAAAAATATTTTTTAGCTTATCACAATCAATCAATCATACTGCGCGTTTTTCGGATGATAAAAAAGGAAAAAAATAACTTAAACAAAGTAATTACCAATCGAATTATATGGGAAGTTCAATTTTTGATGAATCGATTTCAATAGTATAACTTTATTGATTGATGAGAAAGTGAAAAAAAAATGTCACTTCCTGGAAAGTTGAAACTGATGAACTTTTCGAACTCATATTAGCTCTATTCTCTCCTCTAATCAAAGCTTTATATAAAAGCTTTTTTATCAGTGTAACATAAAAGAATGGTAGGAATTAGACTATAGTATTAAAAATTAAAAAAAATCAGATCAAAATTATAAAATATAAAGAATTACTTTAAATTTTGCAATAATTGAATCAAATTATTGAAATCCAGAAGTTTGAATTTAAATCTTAATTAAAATTGCAATAATTCTTTGCACATATATGATTATTATATCATTTCATGTCAACATTGATATCCGAGTTATTAATTCCTTAACTTTCATTTATTTTTGATAAGAATATTTTGCATTTACAGAATGATCTTTTGGCGAATATTTCTTTGGCTTGGGTTTATTGCATTTTATGTAAATGCAGGTGTTATTGGAACAATTCAGGGTATCACTGTGACAGGTCGACTTTCATGTGGCAATAAATCAGTACGAGATGTTGAAATACAACTTTGGGAAGAAGACAGCGATAAGTTTCTTTTTTATTTTTATCACATATAATGGGATCTTGTTCGTTGATAATTAAACGGATTAGTTATTAACCTTAAATAAATTTCATTTGAAATATTTAAATTATTTTAGGTGATCCTGATGATCTACTAAATTCTACCATATCTGATGCTAAAGGAAATTTCCAAGTATATGGTGAAGATAAGGAAGTAACTGCAATTGAACCTTATCTATCTATTGCGCACAATTGTGATAATGGTTACATCAATGAAGTCAGTTTTTGAAATTTGAATTTTTTCTTTAAACAACTTTAGAGTAAAGTAACTTTTGAGAATAAATAGTTGATGTTATCACTATTATCACTATTTATCACTTTCAGAAGTGCACAATCACTGATGAATATCCGATCCCAAAGGAGTTTATTGGTAAAACGTACAATATGTATATTGTAAGTCTAAGTATAATGGGGGCAAATCACAAGAAGAAATGCAACCAATAATCGATGATGGAGCGATCGATAATTGAAATAATTAAAAAAAACGAAAAAATTTTCTTTAAAATAAAAAAGAATGAGTGGAATATTATCAGTATTGAATTCATCAGTATCGAATATTATCAGTGATTGAATATTACCAGCATTGAATATTATCAGTATTGAA